ACACTACGCCTAATCGTCTGGTCTTCGGGGCATGTCAGTAGAACCAGTACCTTCTGCATGCCAAATACATACACTGCCTGAGTATCATGCCTCCATTCGTCTTCAGAAAAGTCTCGTAGCACCACATTGGTGGCAGTGGAAAGCGAGCCTGATCATGAAGGCCATCTATCCTGATTTCCACTGCTGGGCGATAAACCTTTTCGGGCCAGAAGGATCACACATATGCTACGGATGGGAGAATAGGTGGCAATCGCAAACTATAGGGCTAAAATTAAAGTCTACCTTCCACAGCTACCCAGGTCTCATGTTCTAAAGGAAAGCTATTAACAACTAAAGCGGAGTTCCCCTACCGTCCTTGCATAAGGCTGTTGATAAAGTGAACTCGCGATACCTCTTCCACTTCTCCACTAGATGGATAAAGCCCGGATGGATATGACTGGTCAGCTCCGAAGTGAGAACAACGTGGCAAGAAGGAACGGACGCGGAACCCTTCTCTCATGGACTTGTGTTAAGTCCCATCCTTCCTTACGCAAATCTCTTTTTAGGCCAGTATTCCTACGCCTATCTATGGACGTAGGCCAGCACAATACCCTCTCCCTGAATCCAGTCGAAACTCCAGATGCAGTCCGAATTGCCAAGAGGGATTAGTGATGCTGAGGTCAAGAATATCCTTACTTGTATGCATTTTTGATGACTGGCACGGCCGGCTCGTGTGTATTTCCTTAAAGTGCCGACTACATCGTGATGGTCGACACGGGAGATTGACCAAGGGGAGCGCCAGGAACGACGCGCAAAAGAGGAGAGGGGATGTGTGATACTTTGGTTGTTTAACTCCCTATTTTGGTGAGGAGGGACTTTTGACCTGGCCATTGTTCTACGACCGATGGGAGGGTTTTCGGACCGTGCAATTAGGCCTAGTACCTTCTGTAGGCCAAATATGTACATTCTGCCTGGGTATTATGTCTTCTTTTCTCATCAGAGAATTCCCTTAAGGCTATAAATATTAAATTACTTTATCTTTAGAAGGGTTTTAAGACAGAAGCTCTAAGGCCATTTATTGCGAACATTATCTACAGTCGGGTGTTCCTACTAGAAATATAAATATCAAATTTGGAGCGAATTTGAGCGGACTGGGAGATATATCAACCAAAGCAAGAAAGTTGAACTAAATTTTTCGCGACAAGTCACATAAATAACGATTAAGAATGTCGTTCATTCCTGCAAATGGGGTTGTTTTGTCGCGTCAAGTATAATGGACAGGAGAACGATCGCTTCTCAAATCAAGGGCGAGTCTGTACTTTTCTCTATACGATGTTTTCCGCTGTACGCTTAAATGGTGAAATTGATAACGCATATTGCATGTTTTGTGGGAATTCCGAATCGATTTGGTGTAAGTGACTTACATTATTACCCTCTCAGATACCATTGCGGGCGAAGTTGCTGCGAAGGATTACAAAATCTTAATGGACAGTGGTTGGCGTCGGTATAATAATCGTTTTTTCCTATATATTAAACCTTTAGACATGGAACTATCATACGTAAGCCAGCCAACCGCAAAACATGTTGCCCTGTGTACGCGCTTTGGTGTGACGCTGAGAGCTTTCGGATTTCCAAATCCCAGAAGAAGGCTCTGCGACTTGTTAACAACTTTTTGAGTGGCAGAGGAAAGTTCAAAGATGCCAAGAACGCCTCTGCTACAATTATTTGCTGCGGAGATCGTTCAGCTGATTCAAATAACCTTACGAATAGTCCGCAAGATGTTAAGCCACAGCCCCCTGGAGATTCGGAAATACCCATTAGTGGAGCGGTCAAAAACTTGAGTTTCAAAAGAAAGTTCAGGTATGCAACAAAGGCCTCTATAACCAATTGATTATCTATCGAAGTAGCTCAAACGATGTTAAGCTCCAAGGCGATGGGGATGCTGGAAAGCCAGTTGACGGAAAGGTCATCAATTTGAGTGCTAGAAAAAAGTTCAAACGGGCAACAGAGAACTCTGATACAGCCGATTATCGTGGATATCGCCCCATTGATGTGAATGATCTTGCGAGTCACCCAAGAGATATTGGGACACAGGTCTCCAAAGATTCAGGATTCGCAGATGATAAAACTTCTGTCAGTGCGAGTAGACCGGGTTCAGCTCGACGCAAAAGATGGCAAGCTTTGCAGGATCGCATGATGAAACGTGCAAAGGAGTTGGGCGTTCCATATGAGGCGGTAATGCAAGTATGTGCTGCCCACTTTTGCAGTCAGTAAATGCCTCGGCCATTCACCAAAATATACCCTTTGATTCATGTTAGGAATATCTAACCCGAAGAAAAAAGCGTTTGGCCAAGAACAAGCCTAAGGACCTGGAGGATTACCTGGCATCTGAACCGAGAGAGGGCGAGGCTGCCCATTTCTTGGATGTGGGTCATTGTCATGCATGGCTGTTTTGCATCCTCATTTCATTGCTGACTTCAAAATACTTTTTTTTCTAACTTAAACAGATTCGCCTGTATAGGAGTTCCCCCAGATCAGCCGAGTTGGAGGCAACCTTGGATGAGGAATTCAGGCTATACTCAGCCTATCAAGTTGCTGTCCATAAAGACGCTCCGGAGGATTTAAAACGGGAGAACTTTATCGAGTATCTGGTCGACTCATTAATAGTGGTAAGATCAGTGTCATGAATCTTGCCCACTGGGCAGCTGAACTTATCAATGTTCAGAATCTCTGATTGCATTTGTCAGGACGGACGCGATGCAGATGCGGAGGCGTGCGGCGCTCCACAAGTTGGTACCTACCATCAGCAGTACTGGCTAGATGGAAAAAAGCTTATTGCCGTGGGCGTGCTGGACCTCGTTTCTGGTGGTCTCTCCTCCGTCTATTTCTTCTATGATCCCGCATACGCTTTTCTACGCCTGGGCATCTATTCTGCTCTTCGGTTTGTTGCAGTTATCCCCTAACACGTTGGTAGGGGAAAAGTCATTATTTCATAGACAAATGTCTTGTTGTAGAGAGATCGCTTTTGTGCGTGACCTCCATCGCACTTTTGGATCGAGGGTGGCAGCTTACGCCGACCCCATGCAATATACCTTGGGCTCTTACGTGCATTCCTGCGCAAAAATGCGCTACAAAACCCAGTTTGCACCCTCCTACCTCGTCTGTCCGGAGACGTATACAATGGTGCCAGTGGAGAAGTGCCAACGTATGCTGGATGTAAAGAGGTGCACTCGGTTTGCAGAGGCAGATGTGGAGAAGGCGCCATCCGTAGATCGTCGCAATGCGGTTATTCTTCTTTCCTGCTCTCCTCGCCTAACTTTGCTTCTTCAAAGTTCCCAATTTACCGTCAAAGACAACGTCATCATTACGTCGGTCGCTGCAGCTACAAAAGTACTCAGTGAGGATGACTCGCAGAGGGTGGAGGATTGGCTTAAGCTGGTTCGTTCCACTGGCACCATGCGTATCGACTGTACTCGTTGAACACCACCTTATATCTGGCCTGCTGTAGCAGCTAGTTCTCTCTCCTTGCAATTTTGGAACAAAACCTTTACCTTGGTACCATTGTTGCCTTCAACAGGAATGTATTAGAATAGGAAAAAGAAGGAAGTGTTTTTATTACAATGGTGCTTGGTTTAGGTCACATTAACGAAATTTTCGTACTGTAGGATCGTCAAAATTAAAGGAGAGAGAAATAAGATTTAAATGGCATTTTATTATCCATCTCTGACTTCTCGGGGCGTAAATCGGTGTGTGGTCGGGATTTTGCACGCTTCTACAGACCCAAGTCTTCTAAACTGCTGTCGCCTGTCGTGTCGAGGTCACCGACCAGATGAGCAGTGGACTGACACTGCGGGATGGATGAGCCACCAGAGGTGTGTGAAGCTTGTTTGGAGGTCTGGCGGACGGTTAGTGGACACTACACCATACTGAGTCAGCGTCTTTGTCTCGTCCCCGGCTTAGTCACATGTGTCTGCAGCAATTGAAGTTATTGTCAGTGTCAACGCATCTCAGAGCATACCCGAACGTTGTCTCAGCCCATCATCAGATGGGCATAAACCAGAGTCGGTTTCTATGTTGACAGCGAATTTAAAAAGGAATTTAAGCTGAAGTTTCTTCTGTGGCTCTAAGCGACAGCAACACACCCCCTAATAATGGAAAAAAATACGTAGCGGGAATTGGTTCCATTGTTGAGCCTTTGCCTACCAACGTCTTGACACACAAGTCGGAACAGCCTGGACCTTTGCCTTCATAGTGCTCTCTGAAGCAGGCTCCGGAGGTGGAGGCGGTATCTGAGTACCTGTATGGAAAGGCATGCTCCACAGCAGGCCATTGCGTCAATGTGCTGGTTCCTTGGCGCGTCTCCGATGCAGTCGGTTGTGATGCTTCATTCCGGTTCTGTTGCCAACCCCGAAGTTGAATATGGTTTGATCGTGTTAGCAAAACTCCTCTTGGCGAAATTGTCATCCTGCCATGACAGAAGGCGTGGCAAACTCGTCTCGACTTCAGTGCTGATCCCTTCGAGCCGTTGCTAAACCCTGAAACCATCACTGCGTTAGTTGTGCGAAGGTTGTAATGCATTAGTGCTTCAACTGGCGATTAGTAACCAGTTGGCAGCAGTGAGAGAAGAACCCTCTGCAGGACATCAATCATCGCCTCTCATCCCTCGTGACTTTAGCACTGCTTGCCTAAATGTGTCAGCAAACCTCTACACCTGTCCATTTCAATGCTTAGAAGGCAAAACAGTGTAGAGTGAATGTGCGTGATGGCATGCTGAAGGGAGAAGTGGTGTTGGACTTCCAGGAGGTAAAGGGGTATTATTTGTAGGGGCTCAGTAGGCATAGAAGTAGTCCCAGACGCTACTTCCAACCACTTTGAAAGTGTATCTACCCGAACGAGGCGCTGCACATCATGAACCGGACCAGCAAAGACAGGGTGGAGTTGCAACCTGGGCTTCACTGGCTGTGGCCAATGCATTGTAGGGATTCGATAATATTTCCACCGTCTGCAGATGGTCGACAGGGATATGGAAGGCTGAGGCAAACCTTCTGACGATTGCTACTGACTGCGCAAGGGAAATGATGGTAGACTGTTTGCAAACGGCTTTGACAAAAATTTCCTTCAGGCTGGATGCCGAACTAGTGAAGGACACTTCAGCTAAGGTGATATAGCGGGTTCAATTAAGTGGCGATCTATGGAAGGAGAACTAGCAATGACGTGGTTCATGGGGAATAAGTCGACGGGGCAGACTTTGTGCAAAGTGCGTTCACCCAGAAGATATTTATTAAGCAGAATGTTAAAAACGCATTCTTGTGTGTGTAATGGCCAGAATCCTTTTTTTGGTGTCTTCATTGAAGCTGGATGGGTGCGATCCACATTATTAATCATCATGACCGACTGTTTCGTGTTGGCGACAAGGTTGACGTCTGATGAGGAACAGTTGTTCACAAGGTGCCATGCGACAATTTTAGCAGAAGCCA